GCACTCATTTATACAGATTATCAGCAAAAATAAGTAGATTTTGGTGTGACTTGCTCTTTAATGTTTAGTTGTTTAATCAGAGGATCATTTGGATGATTTTAATGATGACATCATCACAGAGCGCATGTGCTGGAGTTCCAGTTCTTATTGGGCTCAATATATATATATATTTTTTGCTCTTTTTTATTTCATTCAAAATAAAAAAAATAAAACATATCAACAATAAGAAATACGTAACAAAAAAATCAAATTTGAATGAAAAGGAGCAGAATGAAGAAAAACATCTTATAATTTCTGCCCCCTTTTCCAAAAGAAATAATCAGTTTATATAATTTCCATTTGTCAGACACACATGCAGATTCATTTTAAACTTTTTCCTGTTATAAATTCCAGTGCGATCATGATCATTGATTTAATTTACATTTTCATAATTATTCAGTACACTCTATTTGGTACATTTTTTGAATATATTGAACACATTCTCACACCCTAAGCGTCGGAAACAAACACTTGGTCAGCCACCCTCCACGTCAGACCCCGGACGCCGAAAGTGCCCTTTTTCTTTACTTATGTGCGAAAAGGGGTTTTCCCCTTTTGTAACTGCAGATCCCAATGCAGCGTAAAACTGACGTGATTAGATATCCGCTGATGCGGCACCGAACCAGCTCATTTAACCGCACCTAAACATTAACGTTTCACTATTTATAACCTTCCCCTCTCCCTCATCCTAACCTTAACCCTCTTGCTACCTAAAACGTTACTCTCACTGTGATCAAGGGTTTGTTTCCCATGCATTCTGACTCTGACAGTCAGAGTCTGACTGTGAATTTTCGTGTTTGCCGCCCAAGAACATACCAGCTGGCGAGGGGGAGGTTACACATACCCTCTACTTTTAACCTCCACCGTGGTAGTTGAAACCTCCGCCTCGCGTTGGCTCGGTCCAAACCCGACCAATGACGAGGCGGCTCCCGCCGTTCACTTCTTATGGGCCATTCCCATCTGTACCGGGTCGGCCCGGGCCGGGTAGCGTAGGTTGTTTACATATCTGGGTGGCCTGGTGTTTTTCCGGGCCAACCAAGGCTCATTCTCAGCCCTCTTCTCGAGGGGATCTGCTTCAGGCCGACCAGGGCCAACACACCCACTGCTGACAGCAAATTCACACCTTCCATTAGAGCAAGCCTCTGATTGGTGGGTAGAATCAGCCCACATGGGCTTAAGACAAGGATGTGTGGAATCAACCGGGCCAGACTGGGGCCGAATGGGGCTACCCGGCCCGGGCCGACCCGGTACAGATGGGAATGGCCCAATAGAGCCGGCTTTTAGAGCAACCGACACATCACTAACGTGTTCGCTAGCAAGATGGTTAAGGTTAGGATAGGGGTGAGGGGAAGGTTAAATAAGAGGATGAGGTTAGGGTGAGGTACAATGAGCTTGTTTGGTGCCCTGGCTGCGGACATCCCATCGCGTCAGTGTAACGCTGCACTGGGATCTGCAGTGAGAAAAGGGAAAAACCCTTTTTCGCACATAAGTAACAAAAAAGGGCACTTTTGGTGTCAGGGGTCTGACGTGGAGGGTGGCTGACCAAGCGTTTGTTTTTGACGCGCTGGGAGTGAGAATGTGTTGATATATTAAATGACAGTTTTTTTATTTCCTTTTTAAGGTTATTCCATAACTAAACACCATTTACAGATATACTCCATTCCTTAATTTTATTTATAAATCTAGGTTTTGTAAACACATCAGTTTCTTTCAGCATGTAATTACTAGTTCTCTTTTCAAACATCCCCTGATATTAAAACCACATTCTGACAATCTCACAGTAAATGTTTTGTTGACTTTTCTCTCTTTTCCTCATTTTTTGCATGACTTTGTAAATCAACTTTCTGATCTTGCTTTGAAAATTCCTTAAACTAATAGCATCAGCAGACCCCCCCCCCACACACACACACACACAAACATGGAAAATATGTGTGGATATTGTCCTCCCAAAAGTTAATCTATAACCCAGATGTGGTCCTGCTGTGATCATGTGAGAAGGACAGGTCTCGTGGGTCTGGCGTTTAAGGCGCGGGTGTTTCTCGTGACTTGTTGAGCAACGTCAGATAGGGTCAGATCAAACAAATGTCAGGATGACCCTGAATTACCCACATCCTGCTGCGTCGCTGCATTTTACTGTTTGGGACATTCAGTAGAATATTTAAAGTATTTCTTGCAAATGTTTTTGTTAAGTAAACAGCCGTGTATTCTTCTTTACACCTGTTGTTGTTATTCCATTCTATTCTATTCTATTCTATTCTATTCTATGCAAGACAAAAAGTGACAGAGGTGTTCCTCAGATGCTGCCAGCCATAAAAACACAAGGTTGTTGTCAGCTAATTCGCAGTGGAACGAGTCAGTTTGAGAAAACCCGACAGGTGCACAGCTGCTTGTTTTTTATTTATTTGAAAGTTTGATTAACAACAAGTGCATCACACCGCGCTCTGCTTCGCGGCCCGCGAGCACATGTTGAAAGCAAAATAGCCAAGAAGTTCCCACAGACTGATCCCGTATGTGACCGGTGTAAAAATACTGAGCCAGCTTTATGTCACATGTGTTGGTCCTGCTGTTGCCTGGAGAAATACTAGAGATGGTTTTAATGTGTTATCTGACATGATAGGAACTTGGATCGACCCTTTCCCCCTTAAACCACTGTTTGGTATCACCCCGAAGGACTGAAAACCACCAGTGGGAGCAGAAAAGTTCCCTTTGGGAACGCCGTCTCATTCTGTTCAGGTGGAAGGAGCCCACTCCCCCCTCAGTGATCTAGTGGACAAGGGAGGTGATTTCTAACCTCAGCACCGGATTCACTTAGAGGGTCTGAGCAGAACTTTCTGAATAGGTTGAAATAATTTCTGACATTTTTGACTGATCAGGTAAACAGGGACAGCCTCTTTGATACGTTAAAGTTTCCGTTTTCCTTTTATTGTATTTTTCTTTAGGACTTAGAACTAATGATGGTGAGTGACTGCAGCTACTGAGCAGTTTTATACCGGAGACAGCCGGGGTTTAGGGAGGGTTGGATACCGTTGTTTTGCTTGTTTGCTTTATTTTGTTGTTGTTGTTGTTTTCTTCTGCTGTTGAACTCTATTAGATTTAATAAATATATGTAAACTAATAAAACTGATGCATGTGTGTGTGTGTGCGTGCGTGCATGCGAGTGAGCGAGTAAGTAAGTGAGTGAGTGAGTGAGTGAGTCAGTGAGAGAGTCTCCTAGTCCGTAAATGTGGTTTAAATTCATCAACACATACATATATGGACAATGGGTTTCCACTGAATCCAATAACGTTTTTGAGGAAAAATGGGAGGTGGCCACCACCGCCATTTTGACCGTGTCACAGGTTCCGTCAAGCCCAGACAATTCCACAAAAGGGAAGAGAGGTGGAGCTGAGGGTGGGGCTGTAAGGCTGGGATCAACTGATGACACCCGGTTGAACGAGCTACAAGCTAACCTGAAGCTAACCCAAAGCTAAAGCAGAGGTGGGAGCTAAGCTAACGGAGGTAGCAACCTAGCTACAACCGGAGTTAACTCACCCGGTTCTCCCCAGCGGCAGCTCTGCGCATCTCAGATCGCAGCGGCGCTTGTCTGCTGTGCGGCTGCCGGCTTGTGGAGGTCTCGGAGACCTCTGTGTTCCACCCGGTTTTACCCAGCGGTCAGCCCGGCGTATTTCTGACTCAGAAGCTCTGGTGTTGTGCACGGCTGGTCTGATGAGTCTTGATTTCTGCTGAGACACTTGGACGGTAAGGTCAGAATTTGGCAACATGTTATGTTTCAACCCATTTTCTAAAGTGCAGCATTATGTTAAATGCACTGGGTTTTACCCTGTTACATTTAAATTTCATGGTTAAACAGTACATGTTAAAATCTAAGCTCAGCTCGGCAGTGACCTAAAATACATAAATATAATTTTACTTACCGAAAAAAATGAAGTGGAGACTCCTTGGATGCTCTATTAGTGCAATTAATGCCACAGCAAGTCATTTTGTCCAACAATTGCACAAATAATATCCAAAAAGAACGCACAAACGCTACAACTATTGGTCTAAGTTAAGCGACTAAAAATAGCGGAACAGTTTCCAGGCCAGACCGAGGCTCTACTGAGGCCTTTCCACGGAGCTAGCTCTTTGGTCACGTGGGTCTGATGCTCATTAATTATACATAATTTTAGGCTTTTAATACACTTAAACAGAAGAGAGAAAAAAATTCACCCCCCTCAGAGTTGTCATGAGTGTAAACTAGATCATTTAAACCAAAAACATGTTTTGGAACCAGGCTGTGAACATGTTTATTTCTGCTGTGAAATTGATATTTTTAACATGGGAGTCAATGAGGATTTGCTCGCTTCTGACACCAGCCCCTAGTGGAAGAGGGTGGAACTGCAGTTTTTGGTACTTCGCATTGGCCTCAGTTTCTGTCCCGCACTGTGGGGGCTTGCTTAAATTCAGCATTTTTCAATTTCACCAGTTCCTCTTACAAGCCAACCATGCCCTTAACAGAATGACACCATCGCCACAAACCACTACATACTTGCTGCTGTCACGTTGTAAATAAGAACGTTTTCTTATTTTTCTAATCTTTTTGTGGTCCTTACAGAAGGACACCAAAGGAAATGATTTTGATTTAAAGAAAAGATTCTAGGTGTTTTTATATGTTGAAAACTCATTTTTCTATCTCGTGGTTTGCTTTTCTTAAAGCCTATTTATGACGTAAACATGTAACTAAAATGTTAAAAACACACCAAGAAAACCTGATTAAGGTTGTTGGACTTTGTCAGCAGAATAAAAACCGTTTCATTGTTTTGTAATAATACATCAGCGACCTTAGCCCCGCCCCGATCTCCGGGAGGCAGTCAGGGGCATCGGTCATGGGTAGTTGGAGTGACTCGGCCCGCAGTGCGGCTTTCAGCTGGTAACAAGTGACGCAAACAAGACTCTGATCAGGAGCCAATCAAATAATCGGACGTTCTCACGTGGTTGCGCTGTTCCGTATTAAAGTGACGGTGAGCTGCCAGGTTCCAGGTGTTCTGTAGAGAAGATGAACGTTCTCCTGCCGCTGCTGGTGGTCGGGTCCGCGTGCCTCACCGCCTCCTCTTCCTCCTGCCCCTATCCTCCTGGGAGGTGGTGCTCCTCCATGGAGTCAGCTGTTCAGTGTGGGGTGAGACATGGTCTTTAGACTGGACTTCGTATTAAATCATTAACTCTTTCATGTGACCTCCTGATGCTTTGGGAAGCTGCTGCTCTTTCTGGGGTTAAAAACTTAAAACTAATGAATGTTTATAACATGGTAATAACGTCATGATGTTGACGTTAACACGCTCCTGAGGAAGTAGCTTTGGATCAGCGCTAAGGAACTTCAGGGGAAACACGGAAAAACGCGGAAGCAGAATTTTATAAAGAAAAACCTGTCAGGTGGTTTCAGACACCGGAGTTGTATGGAGTCATGCCTCCACGTGACTTTTTGTTGTTTTTATGAAAAAAATGATCTTTTTCTTTTGTAGCAGGAAACACGTTTATCTATGTGTCCTTAAATCAGACAGGGGAACACATTTTAACACAACACCCAGGGCAGGCTCCGGTTGGGCACTGATCATTCTGGGATGGCACAAACACCTAAAGCCTGATCAGAGTCCCACGTTTCTCTGTGCTAAAGTAAAGATGATGGAGGTTCTGCAGCACACGTCTGCTCATGAAGGCCCGCTCTGATTTATTTCACAGAAGCTCTTGGCTGCATGAAAAACAAACAAAAAACAAACAAAAAATAATAAGAATGACAGCATAAACTGTGTTCTGTTTTCTAACATCTGCTTCCTGTCAGAAGCAGAAGCTGACCTCAGCTGTGTTCTGCTGCAGGTTCTGAAGCAGTGCCTGGAGTCGGACCTCTTCAGGTCCCGTCGCGCAGCTGATCCGGTCCAGGTCTCCCTTTACTATGAGAGTCTCTGTCCTGGTTGCAGATATTTCCTCACGATGGAGCTCTTCCCCACCTGGCTGCTGCTGCATGACTACATGTCCGTTACCCTAGTGCCGTTTGGCAACGCACAGGTAGACAGTGGACCCAAGCATCTTTATGATCAACACTCTAAACAAGATAAAGTAGACGAGAGCGCCATGTGTTCATGTTTTCCCAGGAAAAGCCTGATGGACAGAAGTTTACCTTTGAGTGTCAGCATGGGGAGCAGGAGTGTCTGGGCAACATGATGGAGGTGACGCCAGACCACACACACACACACACACACACACACACACACACACACACACACACACACACACACACACACACACACACACACACACACACACACACACACACACACACACAGCTGCTGTCTAATGTGGAGTCATGGGTGTTTTGTAGTTTTAGTTAATCTGACAAAACACTTTTTCGGGGGTGGGGGGACGAGAAGGCCACAATCACTGCAGTCTTGTCCACCTGTGGTTGTATCTGCCCCCCCCCCCCCCCCCCCCCAAGTACCCCAGGTACCGCAACTCCGGCCGTCTGAGCATTTATTACTGTTGACAGTCAAATCCAGCATAGCCAAGACCTCCGCCCAGGTATCGCTGTGGATGATGACATCATCCAGGTAGAAAACAGCATATAAAGTGTGTGTGTGTGTGTGTGTGTGTGTGTGGGGGGGGGGGGGTCTACCCTGTCCACGAGGCATTGGAAGATGGCCGGGGCCCTAAACCAACCAAATGGCATTGTTGTAAATTGGAACAGACCAAACGGCGTGGAGAATGGACAACTGGAGACGATGGAGTCCATGGGAGTGATAAGCAGAGTCGAAGAGCCAGCAGACCGGTGCTCTGAGATGATCCAACTGCCAAAAAAAAAAAAAAAAAAAAAAACGGCTCGGTGGATAACTGACTCAGAGTGTGAAGGGATGGTCATCTCCCCTCATTCTACACCCCGCTCATATGTGGTGGAAGGCCCTTCCGGACTTATCAGGTGGAACCTGCAGCCACTCCAAAAGTGATTTTCCCAAGTAACCCAGATACACCTCAAGAGGGCGCCATCGTCTCACCGAACTATTCAGCTTCAGCAGCACTGACTCCAACGACAGTGTTGCAGAGTCCAGTCATTACCAGGTCTGCCAGAGAGGTCATGTAACATGACTGGACTTGTGAATGTAAACAGAAGTTTGAAATAAGGGTCTGATTTCCACTAGTGTCCAAGGAGAGGGTGAAAGGATGCTTATTGAGACGAAGCAGGTAGAAACGACCGGTGTTTCAGTCATTAGGCAAGGCCAAGGGCGTCAGTTTGTTTTCAGAATTGCTGGGGACAATAATTAAATAGGCTAGCATATTTAAGTTTTCATCCGTTGGTAAAATTCAAAGTTGTAAGTATGCAGCTGCTGTCTGTAGGACTGATAGTGATCAGGAAGGTTACTTTTCCTCCATTTCCACTCAGCTTTGCGGGATTCTCTCATTTGGTTTGTAACTGATTTAATGAACCATCATCAGGCTGTTTTTGGTTGTTGTCTCAAATGAGAAATCGGTGAGATTTAAAATGAAAGCTTTTATGTTTGTGCAGCCGGCAGTAATTATTATTATTTATTATTATTGTGTCAGCTGTGTGAGCTTGTTTTGTTGTTCTCTGTGACACGTGTGTCCCGATCTTCACAGACGTGTTTACTGAACATGACTGACATGGCGTTCCCAATCATCTACTGCATGGAGTCCTCCGCTGATGTCACTGGATCATTAGAAAGTGTAAGGAACTGTGTGTGTGTGTGTGTGTGTGTGTGTGAGTGTGTGTGTGTGTGTACACATCCTCCTGTTGATGGATACTGTTCTGTTTCGATTATAGTGTATAAAGCTCAAAGCTCCAGAGCTGAGCACAGACAAGGTGATGAGTTGTGTTAAAGGAGATCTGGGAAACCAGCTGATGCACCAGAACGCCTTGAAGACCAAAGCTTTGAATCCTCCACACAATTATGTGCCCTGGGTGACCATCAACGGGGTGAGCTATATCGGAGAACCTACTGATTATGCTTAACCTTGTGGTATGGCGTCGGGACTTTGAAGGTGCCTTTATAGGACACACCATGTCGGCATATTGGCGTAATATTACCGCAGTGGTATGTCTGTAAAATCGCCATGCCGGCACGGCGTTGCGCGAATATTGCGGCATTCGTTCCGCCTCGCTTGGTAGTAATATTGCCAGATGAGCCCCTCACCTCTGATGGCTAAACGCGTGTCAGCCCTGCTAATCCCTTTGGAGCAACTGTGGGAGCCCCTGCCCTGCAAACGAGGGTGGTCGCGTTAGTCACGTGTACTGCGTGCTGAGTGCCGGCCGGAAGGGAAGCCGGACGGACGGACGCGGAGACCATGGAGCTTTTGGCGAGCGGACGAACAGATTAGTCGCCTTTTTACGGGGACGGTGAGAGACAGCCAGCTGTTCGACAGAGTGGTGAAAACACTGGCTGAGCGTCAAGCGGGACGAAAAGCAGGTCACGTAAAAAAAAAAGGCCCTGAAAAAGAAATTTTATCAGTCTATGACCCTGTACGTCACATGCGGGGGGGCTGCCCAGCGACCTCCCTTTATCCCGTCTTGGTTTGAGAGGTGCCTGATGGCAGTTTATTCTAGCTTCAGCTTTGCTACTACAAATGCCAAAATCCTCCCCAGGGAGCCACGGCAAATCCTGTTTTGCAAACGCTATGGTCCTGTAAAAACAGCTCGAGAGTTTAAAAAAGATTTTAATTCCATTCATTTTAATTTGTGAAGCGCTCTTCAAACGAGCATAACTCGGTTAAAACTCCATCAAGTTGGTGAAAGAGTCGCATGTAAAAAACACTAAAACTGCAATCTAACAGCCAAGCTACTAGAACTAAATAACTATAATACTAGAAGCTTTGCTGGGACTCTGACTCAATGCTAATGCTAACTACAGCACAACTCACTTGCGGCTAATCGCTAATCCGAGCCCCGACTGCTACAAGGCTGGTTGAGACTGCTGTGCTTTTATGACCTACAGCCACAGAGCTGCCACGTAGTACTTTTCTTAGCTACGCAGCATCATTCTCGTTAGCCATTGGCTAAAACCGACTCCTATGTGTTCTATACTTTTGAGCTGAAGAGGGCGCTAGACTGACGTTTTTAAAAAAGAATTTTGAGTTTTCGAAGAAAATGCATCAAAAGGCAAAAATAAATACTATAGATGTCTACAACACTATGACAGTCATTTATACTAGTTATCAGGAAAAAATGTTGATTTTGATGTGATTTGCTCTTTAAGAAGAATGGCTGTGTGTGTGTGTGTTACAGGTGCACACTGAGGACCTTCAGACCAAAGCGATGAATTCCCT